TTTCGAAATTTAAACAACTTCATTTTTGAGCGTAAAAGAATCTTTCCTCCTTTTAATGTTTAAAAACATTACACGTTATTACTAAAATGACCAAATTTCAATCTCYAACAAACACTGCCAGCTATATTTGACCTTCCGAAAGTGCTACATTACGACAAAATAATTTGTGAAAGTTCTCGACCTCCAATATCGCCACTCTCGGCACCATAAGGAATTGGCTAAGAAATCCAAGATAGCACATGAAAGATGTGAATGTCACGTGATCGCTTGGACAATTTGTGTCCGGTGTTGGACACAGCGCGAAAAGGATCCTGGGTTTTAATTTTGACCAGTCATGTTGGCCCATTTCGAATTTCGCGGAAATCTCAAAGGCGGAGATGGCGTCGGACCAGGACTCGATACGTGTGTACAAAAATGCGTACTTAGATGAAGAATTTTGAAGGGCTGTTTGACAAAGAACACAAGAAATCGGTAGTATATTTTATAATTTTGTGGATGTTGTAATATTTTCCCCATATAGTTTTGCTTCATAGCGAAAAAATAGCTTAATTTGTTTTTTTTACCAATGACAAGTCGGCAATTTTGACATTGTCAGACGTTTTTCATAGTTGTGATTGAAATATTTAATCAATTGTCTTGATATTAACAATTAAAAACGAGAAATAAATTTGTAATGTCCTGGATGTATGGCGCACGATGGCGCAGCAGTATTTATTCACTTTTGAAGCAACTAAAATGAGCGAATTTTGAAGTCTTCGTACAAATCATGCTGCTCTCATTTTTACTCATTTTTTTGATATTTATCATGGGTTATATTTTAATATGTGTTTGTACCATGTTTTTGGTAAGTTAAAAGAATGTACACGTTTCTGTACAAAGGCATAATAATAAAGAATTTAAACAAAAACACAGTCAAATTACATTTCTTGCGGTCTCCAAAATTTTGRCCTTGAACAACTCTCTCAYATTMAAGGTCAACTTCACTTTTGAAATATTGACAGTTTTAAGATTGAAAAAGGCAATTCCTTTTTGCATTTTTGCAACATTTTATGATGTCAAACAAAGGATTGTTCCTTGAATGAGTGTCATTCATATTGCTGATGTGATAACATGTCTTTTTCAAGACTGTCGTAAGGTATGTTTGTGTTTTCTCGTAATAGAATTAAATCAATTGCTCGAAAAATCCGATCTTTTCATGAGTTTTCAGCATTCTAGCTTACTTTTTTCGCAATGCTACTGAACTCCATTATGTACGCTTTACTTATTTTCAGATACTTTT